TCTGGAACTTCCACAGTACATACACTGGTCTGCTTGGTGGTGTTCCACAGGTTCCTTAGGCTCTGTTCACTTTTCTTTAATCTTTTTTCTTTCTGTTTCTGAGCCTTGACATTTTCCATTGTCCTATCTTCAAGTTTGCTGATTCTTTCTTCTGCCTGCTCAAGCTGCTTTTGAATCCCTCTAGTGAATTTTTCATTTTGGTTATTGTACTTTTCAGTTCCAGAATTTCTTTTTGGTTCTTTTTTTAGATTTTCTATCTCTTTACTGATATTTCCATTTTGTTCATGCATCATTTTCTTGACTTTATCCGTCTTCCTTTAGTTCTTTGAACATCTTTAAGACAGTTGTTTTAAAGCTTTTGTCTAGTTGATCCACTATCAGGCCTTTTTCAGGGACAGTTTCTGTTGGTTTATTTGATTTTTTTTGAATGGGACATACTTTCCTGTTTCTTTGTATGCTTTGTGATTTTTTGTTGAAAACTGGACATTTGAAGCTAATGAAGTATTTCTGGAAATCACATGGGGAATGGAGAGAATTCCCTATTCCCCAGGGTTTGCTGTTTTTGTTTTTATTATTATAGGCTGTCTCTTTATTGAGGGTCAGCCTGAGATGTAAATTTAAGTTCTTCTCAGGTCTTTTCTGAGCCTCTGCCTTCTCCTGGGCGTGTGCAGTGACTTTATAATTTCCCCCATATGTGCGGTTGCTTGAATATCCTAGTCTTCAATGTTTGGCTCTCAAAATGGAAAAAGAGAACAATGAAGGAGTTAGAAGGGGCACCAGCCCTTTACATCCCTTGAAAGTCATATCAGCAGAGGGGGAGGGGTTTGCAATAATGGAGAGAGGTGCAACAAAAATGGCCACCACTTTTTTGTTTGCATCTCTGTGATCATAACCAGCAATCAGCAATCAGAACATAGATCCCCAGTATTTGGAAGGCAGAGTTCTTCCTTTTTTGCTCACCTTGGCTCCCACAAGCTGTATGCAAGCTGCTCCAGGAACGTGTACACAGCTGTCTGCCATGGGACTGAGGGGTGGGTGGGAATAGGTAGTTCCTACTGTCCTAACAGCTGAAATGGACTGAAATTAATCACTGTTTACCATCTACACCTTCTGGAAGTTGAAAGCCTTCAATAGACTTCAGAATTCCAAAATAGTTACATCAGACAGATTCTGCCAGTGCAATTATTGTCTAGGTGAGGAGACAGATTTCGAGTGCTTCCTGTTTTCCCGTCTTCCCAGAATCTTTCTATATGCATTCTTAATTAATTTTCTCACATCCACGATCATGGTCAAGCCTCTTAACAGCCACTAACACAGGCTTAGAGCCAGGAAACATTTGTTCATGTCCTACTTTAGCCACCTACTACCTGTACAACCTGGAGCAAGTTATTTAATATCTCTGACCTCAGTTTTTTCATCAATAAGATGAAGATAATAATAGTTTCTGTATCATGGTATTTCAGGAAGAATAAAATGATAAATGCGTATAAAGCACTTAGCACAGAGCCTGGTATAGTAAACACAAAATAAATATTAGCTATTATGTTGAACCATGTGAAATTGCTGATATTTGATTATTTTTTTTAACCTAAACAGCCCTGTCATAGGTTTGTCCTATACTGCTATTATTTCATAGATGAGAAAACTGAGACTTGGAAAACTTAAATAATTTTCTCAATGTCTTCAACCAATAAGTGATAGTGAAGCAATTTTGATCTTTTTACAATCCAAGTTAGATTGTGCAGTGACCTACACCGTGCTACACTATGCCCCTGAATTTCTGATTTAACTTTCTCAAATAGGGCATCTTTTCTCTAGTATTCCACATTTTCCATTATAGATATCTTTTACAAAGCTAGGTCAATATGTACACGCAATATATGACTTAAGTATGTCACAATGCTCCCACTGGAAAACTACATGAAAAAATGAATAACTTATTGTCTTAGATTCGTAGTTATGTCAGGACCCAATGTCTTAGAGAAAAAGCTTTCTACTGACCATCTGGTTGGCTAGAACAGTGGCTTCATAATTTGCGATGGGCACAATTTTGGGTGACGAAAAGACAGGTGTTTTTATGTAATTTTATTTAGTAAATATTCTTAGCAAAAAGTTGTCACTAATACTCAGGAGGAATGTATTGACTGATTACATTTAGTCCCATCCTCAATGCAATGAAAAATATTTTTCCTTCTAACTAACTAACATCTATCATAAAAATACCCTTCAGAGATCTCAGGGCCAGAACCAATGGAGGTGATCTCTGATTAGATCATTAAGGTAAACAATTTTTCAGCAAAATAGAGCAATTTGAAATTATTTGATGCCCTCTGTCAAGAGTTAACTAGTCATGGGCCGGCCCTGTGGCTTAGCGGTTAAGTGTGCGCGCTC